TCTTTAGATCCGCGGGATGCGCGGCAGAAAGGGAATTACAAGGCCCTCGTGTCGAGGGGCCCAGTGTATTCTTCAGGTCCTTGGCCCGGCTATTATCTCGTTAATTTTATCCTCTTTTGTCAATACAGTTCATTTCCAAAGGCCGTCCTTTCCATTAGGGTAACAATTCCACGGAGAGCTGGGATGCCGCCACCGATGAAAAGCGATGGGCGCTTGGCTCCGTGCCCTCACCGGTGGCTTTTCTCTGCCACCACCAGCTTGGATGTCACTAAGAGGGAGGGGGACACGCGCACTGGTGGCTGTGTTGGGCCCACACAAGCACTTGGGAGCAACAACTCGGATTCAGAGGGAAAAAAAAGGTTCCTGTAAGCGAATTTGGGAAGTTGAGTTCCCTCCCTGCTCTTCTGTGTGGGCACATTTTTTCCATATAAAACATAATTTCCCTTAAATTTTAAATCTCTTAAGGCTCCTATAATATAATGTATATCCTGCCTAATGTAATAATAAGTACAGTAAATATTTTAGTAAGTATTACTTTATATGTATAAAAGGATGAGGGAACATCATTGCTTGGACATTTTTACCGGCCAGAAGGTGGAAATTGAGGTAGCCAAGCCTCCAGTGAGCTCAAGCTGAGCTCCTGGTTGGGACCCCCCATCCCTGGAAGCGTTCAAGTCCAGGTTGGATGGGGCTTGGAGTGACCTGTTCTACTGGAAGTTGGCCCTGCCCATGGAGGGGGATTGGAACTTGGTGATTTTGAAGGTGCCTTTCAACCCAAATCATTCTGTGATGATTCCATGGCTTCAGTCCGGTGGCCCTTGGGGCTTTGGCAGCCTGAGCAGATGTTCTGCAGAAGCTTTTGCTTGGACACCACCCAGAGATCACTCGTCTCCCTCAAAAATACAACAACTCTAAACTAGAGGAAGTTCAGCCCCACTCCCTTTGGGGGATGAAATGAGTTTTGATGTTGTATGTCAAAATCCTTGAAAAAAAAAAATTATAGATTGGTGGAATGGATTGGAAGGAACCTTAAAAACCATCCTGTTCCAACTCCCTGCCTCAGTGGTGGGGTTCTGATACAACATCTGCATTTGGAGGCTCCCTCAGTTTGGAGTTTGGCCATCCCTAAATTCTAAAGGAGAGAGTGGTGTGTGACCACTTTAGTGAGCTGAGAGCAGGAAGACAGGAAATTAAATATCCCGAGGATTTGGGGGATTCGGCCAATTGGATCTTAAACTGGTGCTTAAACCAGTGAGTCGAGCTCAGGTGGTGTGAGCAGCCCATGGGGCTTTGCAGGGTTTGGGGTGGGTTGGGGTTTATTGACATTACAGCCAAAAAAGTTTAATTTAATGTATTACCTCATATATGTGTGTCTCTGTGAAAATATAATGTATTAGGGCACATATGTAAATTTATATTCAACAGATATTGAATCTATCTATATATACAGAATATTTTTAATATATACTAATATATCTACATAAAATATATAGATATAATTATATAGATACAATATATATTTAAATACATTAAATATATATTTAAATATATTTATCCTATATATAAATATAGATGTCTGCATATACTTTATATATATATATATTTATAGATCTATAAATCTTTATATCTGTATAGCCATGCCCTGAGTGCTTCCACAGCCATGCCACATCCAAACCATTCCCTGCAAACCAGAGTGGGGAATATTGGATGAACTCCTGACTTCTTCCCTCCCCTCTACTAGAGTTAAGGAAAATATAAAATGTGTAATATACAGAATACAATATCTATATATTACATGTATTACCTATATTAGTGAATATATGTAATTTAATATAATCTATATATTCAATAATATATCAATAATATGAAGTGCTAAGAATGAAAATAGTATCTGGGCCTCATATAAATTATATCTAGCTATTATTAAATACATATATTGAGCATACATAGATGTTATTGAACATATTTAATTCAATATATGCATTCAGTACATGCATTCAATAATATCTAGAGATAATTGATGGATATAGAAGGCCCAGAGAATATAGGTGATAGTATATTGATTTATGTATGAAGTATCAATATTTGTTATTCTATACAATACACAGATCTTGTATTTCAGTACATATACTCAGGGTATATATATTCAATTATGTGTGTATCTGTCTGGAAATAGATGTGTGTGGATATCTCTATGTGTTACCCAGAGATAACATATAGGGAATATATATGGAATTACAGAAGTCCTTGAAGGGGCTGATTCAGCTGGGAAAAAGGAGCCCCAAATCCAGGCACTACAGCCCCTGTGAAGGGAGGAATGGAGCATCCTGGGGTCTTCCCAGGGCTGTGTCTCTGGGAGGAAGAGGAGATGGATGGAGCTGGTTTTGGGTCTTGTCATGACCACTGTGGTGTTTTGCAGCACCTTCATTGGAATCCTGGAATGGGTTGGCTTGGAAGGTTAAAGATCCTCCAGTTCCATGGAAGCCATGGGGAAGGATGCATTCCACTATCTCAGGCTGCTCCAAGCCCTGTCCAACTTGGCCTTGGACAATTCCAGGGATGAGGCAGCTGCAGCTTTTCTGGGAATTCCATTCCAGCACCTCACCACACTTCCAGGGAAGAATTCCTTCCCAGTATCTCACCTAATTCTGCCCTCTGGCAGTGGGAAGCCATTCCCTGTATCCTGGCACTCCATCCCTTTTCCACAGTCTCTCTCCAGCTCCCCTGGAGTCCCTTTAGGCGTGGCAAAGTCTCCCTGGATCCTTCCCTTCTCCAGGTTGAACACCCCCAGCTCTCCCAGCCTGGCTCCAGAGCAGAGTTGCTCCAGCCCTTGGAGCATCTCCGTGGCCTCCTCTGGACTTGCTCCAGCAGATCCACGTCCCTTTGCTGCTGGGACCCCAGAGCTGGACACAAAACTCCAGATGAGATCTCAGAAAAGCAGAGTAGAGGGTGAGAATAATCTCTGTCACCCTCCCGGCTGTTGGATATTTGATAGTATTTTTTTTTGCCCCTGATGTGGCCACAAGACCTTTCTTCAGGTCCTGCAGCCAATGCTGGATGCATCCTTGGCCTTGCTGGAGTTTTCTGGGATGGGCTGGGTGATCCATGAGTGACCCTCATGCCATTGCCACTTTCACCCAACGGTGCCACTGCCGTGACTCCTTTGCAAGTCACTAAGACTTGATGCTCCTCTCCAGAGCAGTTCCGTGAGGAGGAAGCCCTGGGGGAACCGAAATGAGGAATTTATCGAATTCCCATCCCCTTCCACAAAAAACAGGCAGCAAATTTTCCGAGCTCGGTAGCCAGTGGCAACAGCCCTCCGGAATGAATAGGCTGTCACGCTCAGCATTAGGAAATGTAACTATTCCATTTTCCAGCTCTCTTTTTCTTTGGAGCACATGTTCATTTAAAGGAAATGCTCATCGGGGTTTGCATTCCGCTGATAGGATAGCAGGATCTTAATTTACGGATATTCTCCGGTAATGCGCGGTTTATATACGTTCTGCTAATAGCATTATGAGCATAGTTTGGGCTAATACAAAATTAGAGCTCTAATTTGCATAAACAAATTACTGTTTGGATTAGCGCTAAATGAGGAAGGCGACTGATATTGGAGGAGATTTGATTTGGCTGCTGTGGCTCTGTTTGGATAATGGGGGATGGATAGGAATGAGCTGGGAAGAGGCTGCGTTGCGAGTCGGGAGGGAGGTGGGATGGTGCAGGAGGCATCAGGTCATGGAGTGGACAAAATTTTGGGTGACAGGGGAGCCTCTCCGGGACATGTGGCAAGGTGTGGGTTGGCCTATTTTCCTTGTCAACCAGCAACAAGATGAGAGGAAATGGCCTCAAGCTGTGCCAGGGGAGGTTCAGTTTGGATATGAGAAGGAATTTCTTCATGGAAAGGATTGTTAAACATTGGGATGAACTGTCCAGTGAGGTGGAATGGAGTCTCCATCCCTGGAGCTGCTCAAGGAATGCCTGGACGTGGCACTCAGTGCTCTGGTCTAATTGACAAAGTGATGGTTGGTCACAGGTTGGACTTCATGGCCTTGGAGATCCTTTCAGACCTAAAAGATTTTGGGATTCTGTGGTATTTATCCCTCAGGTGTCACTTCAGAATTTACTGGTCCTTCAGAATAGCATTATGGGCAACAGAAATTGGATTGTGATTCCCAGTCCATCTCCATCCCACTGCTTCAATACAGGGTTTGTGAATTTAGGGAGAATTGAGGAGGTGGGATCAGGTCCCCAGCCCTGCCCACTGGACCCTGCTGAGGTCCAGCATCAGTTCCAGGTGACAGCTGGGGGATGGAAATGCTCTTGGGTGACTTGTCCCATGCAGGGATTGAGGAAAATCTTTCCAAGAGCCAACTTGGGGGCAGAATAAAAATATTAAAAGCTGTGGTATCTGATTCATAATAGTAATAACAATGCCAAAAATACAGACTCATGGAATGTTTTTGGTTGGAATGGACCTTAAAGACCATCTAGTTATAAACCCCTGCCATGGACAGGGATGCCACCCACTGGATCAGGTTGGTCAGGGTCCCATCCCACCTGGCTTTGTTGTACTTCCAGGGATGTCAAAGCTTGTAGAGCTCCATAAAACTTGGCTAAGCTCAGTGAAGGTCCCACTCCGCTGGTTCTCTCATGGGATTGCATCCACATTTCCTTGTTTCTGCTGGGGCTAGAGGTGCAAGCAAAGGTGGGAGATGTTGGGTGAGAGTACCTGAAGGTTATTTTTTTGGTGTCACTCATGAGGAATCAGAGCTTTTCCTCTGTCAACAGCAAGAACATCCCTGCTTCTTCCATACATCTCCTCCATTCTAGTGGGAGCTGTCCCTGCCCTTGGCGATGGGATTGGAATGAGATGATTTTGAAGGTCTGTTCAAACCCAAACCATTCCATGAATCTCCGATCTCATGGTTTGCTCATGAAGCAGCACCTCCTTGTGTCATTTCCCCAAATTTGGGCTGACCTTGACTTTGTTTTTCCTGCAGATCCCCATTGTTAAACCAAACCCGACTCTCGCTCCAAGGTGGCAAATCCCAGCTCGTCCAACAGCGCTGGAGGAACAAGGGTTTCCGCTGCATCGGTGGGGTCATGTACCGGGTGTCGGCCAACAAACTCTCCAAAACTTCCAGCAGCCCTGTCCGGGCCAGGGACCTGAGCACCAAAACTCCCATCAGAGCAGGTGAGCAGGAATTTGTCTCACTTCATGTCCAAAATCCTTTGAATTCAGTTTTCAGCTGTTGATTCCCAGCCTGTGGGTTGCGACTCATACTTAGGCCTCATGGAATTCCAGATGTGAAGGTAATGGACATCCCATAGTGCCAAGTGCTGTTCTTGCTTTATAGTAGCTCTGAAGGGGAAATAATGCTGGGGAAATGAAAGGTTTAGGAGAATTGAGTTTTTCTTAAATCAGACTTAATTCAAGCTTGTGGAGGCACGCCATTAAACTTGGTTTAACAGGCAAAGTCTTGGATGAATTCAAACAGCACCACAAGGTTGAAGGTGCTTGAGATGCTCATCAAATTAAGTTCAATATTGACCTAAAAAATTGGGAAGATCATTCTGTAGATAACCGTGGAACGGTGCCCCCATTTTGATGAATTCCCATCTTTATGTCATGACTTTGATTAAATTTGTGTTTCAGCTCCTCCTGTGTTTGACGCCTCAAGTGTGGCTCTTAAAAAAGAGCAGATTTTAACTGTATTGAAAGTATTTTTAAAATTTCTAATTGGTCTCAAATATTTTTGCTCCATAGGTAGTTTATTGAGAAATTTTGGGGATAGTTTAACTGGGGAAGGTAAAACCAGTGGCTTTGTGATGATTTTCCTGGATGGAAGGATGAATGGAGCAGAGATTTTTATGGATGCTGCTGGAAATCAGGCAATGAGGGGTGGTTTGGATTTGGAAGGCATCTTCAAGGTCATCCAGTTCCATCCCTCTGGGATGCCTTCCACCAGACCAGGTTGCTCCCAGCCCTGTCCAGCCTGGCCCTGAATGCCAAAATATGACAGGAAAGCAGATGAAGTGGAGAGATGCAGCCTTCTAAACCAGCTGCACCACAATTCCTGTGGGAATTCTGCAGCATCCTGAGTGGTTTTAAACCCACAAAGAGCGGGATTAGGGAGGGAAGGAGCTTTGTGCCGGGATGGGAAGTGGAGCTGCCTGTTGATGATGGCAGAGATGAGGATGAGGCGGTGGCCGAGGGGTGTGGAGCCTATGGAATGTCGCTTCCAGGTAATTTCCCTTCTGAGGGCAGCAAAGGGAGGCTCAGCAGGAGTTTGGGAATGGTTTGTGGGTATTTTCACAACTCAGCCTTTCTCAGGACAGATTTTTGATGTCTGACTCCACTGCTGCCTTCTCCTCGCTGCCAACTCCTCAAGTAGGGACGAGAAAGCTCAGGAGCACGTGTCTGTAATGGATTATTTCGGAATCTGGGATCCTGCCTGGTAAATCCTTGCCTTTGGTTCTGCCTCTGAGGAGGAGGGGCAAGGATCAGAGTTTGGAGACTCAAAAAAAGTGGCTATGAAACAGCTCAGGGGTTTGTAGAAAAAAAAAAAATCAGATTTTTTCCAAGAGCTTTGGTAGTGGTACTGGGACTTTCCAGTGACTGGGTCAGGATAGTCGAGGGTGGTTCTGCCTTAAACACCATCTCTGGACATTGAAGATGTCACCAAAAGCAGAAAATATCCTGCAGGAATGGAAGAAAAGGGGTGAAATGAAACCCCAGGACATGGACAAGGATCTTGTTGGGTGGAGCAGGGGATGGATTTCAGGACAGAGTCGCACCACTAGGAAGAATCCAGGGGAGAAGTGATGGCTGGAAGACTGGAAAAGTGGAAGATCTGGAGCTGCCCAGCTGAGGAAGGATGTCTCTTCATGGCCAGGTGGAGCAGCCAAAACCAAAGGGCTTAAACTGGTGGGAGAGCTTTCCAAGGACAAGGATGATGAAATGCTGGACTCATTTGGCTCGAAAATCTCCATTATTTTAAAGATTTTTTTAAAAAGAACAGGTTTAATCAACTTCTTTTTGGGGAGGACATAGGTGGAAAAGGTCCTGCCTCCCAGCAGGAAGGTGATTTTTAAAATTTATTTAAGTGCAAAGAAGTCTCTAAATTTGTCTGAAAATAGACAAATGAGCAAAGTCTCATTTGGACAAGTCAGCCAAGGCTGATGGATTTGGCCTGTCCATGAATATCCATCACTGGGCTGGGACCAAGCAGAGAAACATCAATTTAGAGGCAAATTTCTGGAAGAGGGATGGAGCCAAAGCTATCATGGGAGGATTTCTGGAGATACAGGCCTTGGAATTGCTTTTGGGGGGTTCCTGAGGGGATTTGGGGTGACAGGGCATGGAAGAGATGTGATGCCCCCATTTTTCCTTTCTCACTGAAACCACGTCTTCCAGTGAGGTCTCATTCAGAGAATTGGGTTTAATTAGTCCCACTTTGGGAGGGAAGATCCCTTCCAGGGTTATTCCCTATAAAATACAATCCCATCTAATTATTATTTTGAAGGTGTTTCTTATTTTGCTGTTGCCTCTTTCCCCCTGCCAGACAGCACATTGGCTTTGTAACCACAAAACCCGAGGAATTGCTGTGGATCAGTATTTTCATGTCATCTTTCATCTCTCCCCATAATTCATCCTCCTTCCCGAGGATGGATTCCACGGATTCCTCTTGCCTTAGGATAACTGGGCCTGGCAGGGCGGAAGATTTGTGTGTTCTCATCGGCTGCGAACGTTTGCTCAACGCTCTGTGTTTTTCAACACTTGACAAAGTTTATTTAAAAGATGGAAAAAAATGGCTTTTCCTTTCCCTTTCAGTGCCAGGCACCGTGTGTTTGGAATAGTGGAGAGACGGGAAATGCTCCTGACAGTTTAATAGCTTGGAGTTTACTTCCAGTGGGTTATAATTCTGCTCTTTCCCTGGATTTATAGGGTTGGGGTTTTATCTCTACAGTACAAAATCTGATGCCGGGTGCTGGGGCTGATCCATCCTCACCATCGTAGCATTCCCAAGTTGATTTATTGATGGATGCTGATGGTGAGTGAAGATTTGATCCTGGGGATGCACTTCCTGCATCCCTGTGCTGTATTGAGATCAATCTTGAGGCCACCAGGAGAAATAGGAAGAGCAGTTTTCCATGGCTCTTCTGGCCTGGGGACAAGGAAAGTGTCCCTGTAATCCCAGGAAAAGATTTTTGGAGGTGGTTTGAACATAAAAAGACTCCCTGGAGCAATCACAGCATCACCACGGCCTGTGCAGCTGCTGAGAACTTTGCTCTCATCTCATGTGTGGCTCTGCTTCCGAAGGATTTCTGTGCCTTCCAAACTTCTCTCTGGAAAACTGCAACTAAAATACAGAAATAAAAATACTTTTTTTGTTTTGCCTTCCCAGCTGGATAGGGATCTTGCATGTGGCATAATTCATTACTTGGGCAAGGATGAAGAAGAAAACCCAGAGCTTAAACACTCTCTGCTCATCCTTGTGCAAGACAAAGATGTGGAATCACACATGGAAAGGCTCTTTCCCTTTGGGATAACTGGTATTTCGGCACCCATGTGTTTTTTCACTTTGCAGAAGTCTTGGAAAATCAGCAGTGGGATGGTGTGGAAAGCATTTGCTACGTGGCAATTAATTAAACAAGCAGAATAATTGGGTTTCTCTGCTCAGAAGGAACCTTTTCTTCATTTCTTCCTCCAGCTGCTAAGGCTGGAGAAAGAAATGACTCTAGACTCTGGAGGAATTTCCATGAAATCTGGGAGAGAAGCAAAAGGTCCTGGGCAATGTAGAGTTTCACAAAGAAATACAGAAGGGGAAATACAAGATTGAAAGCAGCAGAAAGCAAATTAAGGTTTGACATTGTCCGGAAATCAGCCCTGACCCCAATCTCTGCACGAGCTGCTGCTGCTGCTGCTGCTGGGAGAGGAATTGCACTCCACGAGCTGGGGCTGGCTCCAGCAGGGTTTTCCAAGTGTCCAGGCTATTTTTCCATGGGCAAATCCTCACCTGCATGATTTCCTCATGCTGCGGTTTTAGCTCTTGGTTGGTTTTAGCTCTGGTGGATTTGGGGACTTCAGAAGTAACAGCCGGCCCCTTGAACAACATGGTTTTATTTATGGGGTTTTCGAATTGTCTCCATGACCGTAGATTCCAGAGCCTGGGAGATACCCAGGATTGCTGCGCTCCCAAATGTGGAGGCTTAAGAGGAGTTTTCAGTCCTCCCGAGCTGAGTGTGACAGTGTCTGTGATTCTAGAGAAACAAATTATTAATTAAAACATGGTTGAGTTCAGCCTTCCACAACTGGGAGGGACTTTCCTTGCATTCAGATGCACTTCCCGTCTCCATACTGCTGTGCAACATCCCCTCCTGCCTCAGTTTCCCCTCTCATCTGCAAAGGTGATCAGATGGGGAGATGGAAGGTCATGGAATCACGGAATAGTTTGGGTCGGAAAGGAGCTTAAAGCCAATCTCATTCCAAGCCCCTGCTATGGGCAAGGACACTTTCCACTATCCCAGGTTGATCTAAACCCCATACAACCTGGTCTTGGACTCTTCCAGGGATGAGACAACCACAGCTTCTCTAGGCAACCTGTGCCAGGGCCTCCCCACCCATCACAGGGAAGAATTCCTTCCCAATATCCCATCTATCCCTGTCCTCTGGCAGTAGGAAGCCATTACAGCCATCCCCTGTGTCCTGTCCCTCCACTCCTTGTCCAGAGTCATTCTGCAGCTCTCCTGGAGCCTCTTCAGGCACTGGAAGGGGCTCTAAGTTCTCCTCAGAGCCTTCTCTTCTCCAAGCAGGACATTCCCAGCTGTCCCAGCCTGGCTCCAGAGCAGAGGGGCTCCAGCCCTCGGAGCATCTCTGGATTCCCTCCTCCACTGCATCAGGCAGGGGACAGGTGACGGATGCTCCTGAACAGGATTTGGGCTGCAGCAGGAGAACTCCACACTTGGAGATCTCCACAGTGCTGGAAGAAAGTGCTCTCTGGCCTCCCTGTTTAACAACTAATTTTAGAAGTGCTGAATGTCATGGAAACACTTTTTCAAGGATGAGGAAATGCTCAGTGCTGCTGTTGGCCCAGCGCTTTTGGGAACGATGCTCCTTCCTCTGAGCCATTCCTTTTTCCAGAAAGAAAGGAGGGATTCAGGACTGGAATGTTTCCACCACCCATCATCTGC